CTGAATAATTTTACAACACGACTCGGCCATTCTGTTGGTCGCATGTTTGCTTCTCTCTTCCCACATGATCCTCAGTTCATTGGAAGACAAGTAGCTACATTTCACAACCAGCGAGACTACATCTTTTTCAGATTCCATAGGTAACATTTTCCGAGAAACTCCCAACTGAGAGAGTATGTTCTTGTAACTTTACTTCCTAATATTTTTTTTTCCTTCCCCAAGATATATCTTCAAGAGTGAAAAGAAGGTGGGGATCCAAGAACTTGGGCCACGTTTTACATTAAAGCTGAGGTCTCTTCAAAAAGGAACCTTTGATTCCAAATTTGGAGAATATGAATGGATTCATAAGGTATGTCTAAGTAATGATACTAGTCCTGCTTGGGAAGGGAGACAAAATCTGACATGAAATGTAACCACGAATCTTAGCCTAAAAAAGCAGTATAAATGCAGTTCTCAATACAGAAGTGCTTAACTGAAATATTTAGAGGTATATTTTGAGAAATATGCAAAGTAGAAGCATTCTGCTGTATGGCAAGTCAAAAATAAAAATAGCAAGGATGACAACTGTCAATATACCATGACCACTTATTTGCAGAATGTAATTTCTTTAACATACACAAATATGAGCAAATGTGAAAAATGCTTCCCTGGTATAAGCTATTATTGGAAGCCAAGTAAACTTGACTAGAGCTATTTTTATGCAAGGTGAGTGCAAGAATCATATTGTTAAAGTGATTGAGCAATTTACATAAACATCACTTCCTAATAGTGAACAGAATGTAACACTGACCTCCACACACCTTCAGGTGAAATATAAGTATTACTCTAGGCAGCAATAAATTACACTTCCAGTCATTTTTACCATGGACTTGCAGTTGATTGGCAAAACTTGGAACCGAGTATCCAAGCTATACCAGGAGGAAAATTTTAATACTCCTGGTGTAGTTCATGAAATGGGTAATCTTCTTTGTTTTAAAGACACTTCATGTACTGTCAGTAGATAGAGGACTGCTACATGTTCTTTAGTTCTAAATCAATAATCTTCTCCCTCGTTAATCTTGAAAAGCTGACTATGAAGATTCAACTACACTGTAACTGTGACACATTTCACTGCCTACCCTACTATAAACCGGAGTGGTCATCCTTATTTGTATCTTGTTGTATGAATTTGCTGGTTAATAACTTCTCTTTTAAATTTCAGCGCCGAGAAATGGACACAAGTAGAAGAAAATTTCACTTGTAAGGGACAGCTATCTGACAATTGCTGGTGACCAGAAATACAACTGCTTTGAACTACGGATTATCAAAGACTCCTAACGAATGATAATGATACTGAACAGTATCTGTCTGCAGAAAGACAAACTGCAAACATTGAAACTTTTCTACAGGAGCAGATCAAGTAGAAAGCATCTTTCTTCCTGTGTTTGTAGCTAAATCCAGCATAAGTGACACTTTTTTTCCAGTTTAGCAGGAAACATTATGGCAATGTCAGAGAAGCCTGTAATTCAGCCATCACTGAAGATTTGCCATGACTGCTGCTGTGCTGTAGTGCAGTGTCAAAGACAGTAAATATTTTGGTTAAAGATATTCTCAAAATAAAGTATTTCTAAGTTATACCGATTTTTTTTTTTTTTGTTAAGCAGCCTAACCCAGATGTCTTCCATTCATCAGGTAAGAGATAAATATTTTTAAACCTCTTTCTAATTTACAGTATGCTGTTCCCTGACAGTATGGTAACAGTTTTCCAAAAATGGCTTCCTACCTAGAGAACCCTGAGAAGGCTGTATGCAATCCAGGAATTCTGTGGTATTTTATTTCACTAACATATTGCATCAAATAGCCATGTTGCTGGAGTTACAAAAACAGTATGTTTGACTCCGACAGGTATCTCTTCTCTAAATGTCATATTTAGAGGAAGTATATACCCAAAGCAGTTGATGTTCTTTTATATAAAAAGAAATCAATACCAATGGTAAAGAATTCTTAAGGCTGACTTACAGAAAGTCCATAAAGCCATCTCATCTAAAAATGCTGTTCAGTTGAACACGAGAGGTCGCTGAGCAGGGTTTTTCCCATTAAAATCCTAAAAATGCTTCTTCAGCCTCATGTATGTGCTCTCCAGCTGCTGCAGAGTGATGCAGTAACTGGTGAGGTGTCAACATACCAGAAGTTAATCAACTTGTTGCAGTAATTTCAAGACCAGACTAAGTCAAGACACTTTTATTTTTTGCTTGGCATATAAAACCGATTCCCTTATGAAACAGAAGTATTGTAACTAGGATACAGTTCCTTGGGAGAGGTAGATGGTAAGAGGTTTGACGACAGTAGCAATTCTACAGTTAGATTTGGCACGTTAAAGCTAAGCTTTTGTACAGACTTCGAACCAGGCCACTTCTTGAGGCACTCTATGCATACACACATCAGCAGCTAGGAAAAGATGCTAAAAGATCTGAAAGACAAAACCAAAATGTAGTTAGAAAACTTACCAATGCTCAATGAAGCAACTTTTTATGTCTAAAAACATGTACCGTCAGACTATGCCACGGACAGCTGTTTTATAAAACTCTTAGTTTATAAAATAAACTTTTAAAACAATGAAGCTAACCTCAAGGGTTCAAGAAGGTAATCTAAACTTTTACAAAAGAACTGAAGCTTAGTGTCTCCTGTAAGCCAAACTGCTAAGTGGAAGGAAGGACAGAAAAAGTTGTTCCCAGTCACTTGGTGCCTACAGAAATACCAGGCATCTACTTTGCCTTTGAAAGGCAGGGGAAGAGTCTGTGTAACTGACAAATGACACTTCCTCTTCCCTCTACAGAGGTGGTGCTGACTGGGAAAACGTGAACTTTGTTGGCTCATCGTGAAAACACCAGGATTGCAACTAAGAAATTGCCTATTTTGTGGAAGTGCTTGCAAGAGATACAGTGAAGGAAAGGAATTTTCCATATAGGTAGTGTGACTAAAACTGTTGTTCTAATGACTTGTGCCTGTAACACAGCAGCAACCCGTGCTCTGTTCCAAAATCAGAAAGGTGGAAGAATAAGGGCTGTAATGGAGGAAGAAAATATTAAGCCTTTTATGCCCTGTGTATGCACATATGTGCTTAAGACAGAGAACATGTTTCTTCCTGACATCCACACCCAGGAATTACTAGACCTTGGCAAAGCTCAGTGAGGAACTGATTAAAGTACAGGTTATTTGGCTTTTTATAGGTTAACAGTCTATAATGCTTACAGATGATCTAATTTCTTCCATGAATTACCGCTTATAGCTGAAACTAGTAGTATGAACACAAGTTGGTGTCCAAGAACAGTATCTTTTAAATAACAGTTGATTCATAATACAATTCACAATAGAAATAACTTGAAAAGCTACAAGAATTCTAAAGCACGTTTCAGTTACACTGCTGTAATTCAATGCTCAAAACAATGGGGGAAGTGTTTTTCTTTGTTAAATAGTTGAGCATCAACCTGTATACTGTTAACTACTCTGGTCTTTACTAGCATGAATCACTTCATTTATACACAAGTTTTTTGGAAGATTTCTACAGTCTGCTTGAGGGGAGAACAATTTTAGCAATTCCCTCTGCCTGTGGTCACCTTTCCATAAAGCTGCCTAAATAACAACACAAATCTAGCCCCAATGGATCCAAATCAAGAGGCAGTGGTAAGAGGGACACGATAAAATTACTGTGGGAAAAATATCAAATTGTTGTGACTCTCGGAGTCTTGGTGGGACTACTGTGGATCTAAAACTCACCTTTTTAAATAGATTAGTCTAAAGTCTAATCACGAGAATTTTCAAGGAATGTCAGATTAGTAGTCTTCATAGTGACAGCAGTGGTGCTAATGAACCTATGAAAATTCTGAAATTAAAATCCAAATAAGTATTCAGCTGTTTCTAGTTATTTAAACTGCTACCCATGGGGTAGCTCATTTGATTGGAGTATGGGCCTTGATACAATTCTTGGACTACATACTTTTTCCTTTTGGCTTAGAGGGCATGTCTTACAGGGGACGGTGCTCTTCTTGGAGACTACCACTAACCTATCTTTGGAAGTGCTCTTTAGAAGTTCAAGAACTAAAGCCTGCTTTATCTGCCACAATCAGGATTCACCGTGTGTGCTGTCAGGCAAGTAATCCCATGTGAGAAAAGGGAAATAATACCCTTACACAGAAGGAAGATACAGCAGAATTGCTGTACAACCAGGTTAGTAGTAGTCCACTACTACTTTGCTGCAGCACTAGCAACTGGCAGAAGCTGTGCAACAGCTAAATGCCACTCATAATGCTGATGAACAGCATGTGTCCAGTACAGAGCTGCCACCAGAATGGGGGACGAGGGGGCCAAAATGGGGATCCAGACCAACACCAGCTGCAGAAGTCAGATGTCTCTTCTGAATACTTTTAATACAGGCAGTCCCATTTAAAGCCAGCTATTTTTAATGACAGAAGAGTTTATGAATTGTAATTCAAGGACTTACCACTGAAACATACCGAAGTAGTTCACGTAATTACAAAAATGAACAAACTTTCTGGGGTCTGAATGGATTTGTACTCGATGATACTCCTGTCAGTAGGGGGTCGTGTTGTGCATTCTGCAGGCAGAATTGCTTCAAGTCTGCTGCAGCCTGAGAAACCTAGTCATAATAAAAGTTGGTATTAGAATTCACTGGACGCTCTTTACTGAGGATGCAACTACATCAAAAAGAATACTGCTAAATGATTCTGCAATACAGCTTACATAGATTTTATACAACAGTTTCATTGTAATTTTTGGGTTCCTTAAAGACAAGAAGTTGCACAGTATTAGAATAAGAATCAGTCTGGAAAATTTTCATGTTAAACTTCTAAGCCTGAAGGGTGAAAGATGAGCAACATCTTGGAGACAGCTTTGTTAAATATATGAAGATCTTTGTTCTAGCATAAATAATTTAAAAATGCAGCCTACAGGTTAGGATGCTTTACTTGACTGAACTGGCATTTTATCTTCCCTTGGAAAGCCATCCTTATGATGAGACAGCGTATGGGGTTTTGGTAGGATGTACCTACCTAAAACCAGATTTCTTTGCTGTAACTGTGAACTCATAAAAAAGAACGATCAAAGTTTCAGAAAGCAGCATCCTCGCTGGTATTTTGTATTTGCAGTTTGCCCGGAGTGTCTGTCATGTGGCAGGGCCCAGTCGCACCCCGAAAACGCGCGAGTTAAACGCACTCGGTACATCGTCTCCATTTTACAGCGCAGGGCCGGGCCAGCCAAGGCAACCTGTTGGGCACCCGACTTGTCACCCGAGGCTGACGGCAGAAGACACTCCCCAGAGCAAGGAAATGAAGGGGGCGAGCGGGGCGCGTCCCTCCCCCCGGGGCAGCGCTTCGGACGGAGAGCGGC